ACCCCAGCCCACCCCAGGGGCGCCCTTCGCTGGGGGCTGCCCCCCACCCCAGCCCACCCCAGGGGCGCCCTTCGCTGGGGGCTGCCCCCCACCCCCGCCCCACCCCAGGGGCGCCCGTCGCTGGGGGCTGCCCCCCACCCTAGCCCCACCCCAGGGTCGCGCCAGGCTACTGTACCTCGCGCCAGCCTCCAGAGCTCCCGCCTCCAGGACCAGAGGAGGTGAGGGTGTGGCCGCTGCTGCCCCATCTCCACCCAGTTGCTGTGGCTGTAGAAATCCTGGGCCCCAGGGAGGGTAGGGAGGGAGGGCAGTGCCAGTCGAACCCAGTCACCATTCCAGCCCCAACAAGTCCACTCCTCGGTCCCCCCGCAAACCCTCTTAGCACCAGCGCTGCCCAAGCCTCCACTCTCCATCACTTTCTCCGCTGCCCAGGGCAGAACGAGCGTCCTAGCTCCTCCCCTCCCCATCCCCGGGGGCCAGAACCCTGCCCGCTTCCGTTCCCCTTCCCTCCCTTCCAGCCACCACCCGGGCCTCCATGCTGCCCGGAGCAGGGGACCAGTGCGGTGCCTCAGGCCCTGGGGTAGCCTGGGCGGAGCTCCCACCTGCAGGGCGTGCAGCGCTGCCCCCAGGCGCCCGCGGGCCAGTGCGTAGTCCCCGGCTCCAGCCGCAGCCAGGGTCTCCCGCAGAGCCCCCGCCAGGCGTTCCCGCGCCTGGTCCAGCCGCTCGGCATCAAAGTGCAGGTCAGGGTCGTTCTTGGAAGCTGCCAGGAAGTCCTGAGCTGCGTTGGCACGAGACATCTCTCCCAGGGCTGCTCGGAACCGCCGGGAGGGAAACCCGGGTCCAAAGTAGGCGGCAAAGAGGTCGTCGGCGAGCAGGGTGCGGCCCTGGCCAGGGTGGTGGGGACAGAAGGCCCTGGATCGCAGCATTTGCCAGCGTTACCTCTCCGTGGCTCCCAAGGCTGGGGACAGACGGTGCCCACAGTGCTGGGCCCCAAGAGGGAGCAACGGGGCTGAGGGAGCCACGGAAGTGTGCGGGTGTCTCCTCGTGCTGGGGCGCCCGGGAAGGGGTCTGGCACGATGGGGGCCCAGGTGCTCACCAGGAAATCCTGGAGACGAAGCGGGGGCCGACCTAGGAGTGGCTGCTCCAGGAAGAGCTGCAGGGTGACATTGAGTGCCGCCTCTTCGGTCAGGTCCTGGTGGGTGATGGAACGAGGGGCGGCCAGAAGGCTCCAGATGTTGGGGAAGAAGGCAGATGTGGGGGAGAGCAGCAGCTGCACCAGCAGCAGCACCAAGGGGCCCAGGTAGGTCAGGGGCAGCTCTGCAGGGAGCATGGCCGAGATGGGGACCTGGGGAAGGAGGCGGGCTGGAGCGAAGCAGCAGGGACTCCTGGCTGGCCTGTCTCCACGGGAACCTCCTTAGGCTCTGCCACCTTCCTCGCCTTGTTTGCTGTAGCCTGGCTCCTCCTCCCGGCCCCAACAACCTGAAGGCCTTGTCATGTCAGGAGGGACACCTGCCAGGACAGTCTGGAGTTCCTCTCCTGGCTTCCTTGGGCGGCAATCTCCTCCCAGCTTCTCCTCTACCCTACCTGGTCGTCTGGTCTCCCAGGCAGGGGCAGCCCTGGCTGGCCCATGTCACAGGGAACTGGGGTCACAGCTATAATTAACCCAGCCCTAGCAGGCAGCCGCTGGCCCTTTCCCCACACCATGCATCGGCCAGCAGCCGCCAGTGCGGTGGTGAGGAGCTGGGAGGCGCAGCAGCGTGACTCAGGCCTGGCGCCAGGCCAGACCCAGGCTGGGCACCTTGTGCCCGTGGGCCCAGGCCCAGCCTGCGGCTCATGAGCAGCCCCACACCCACGGATCCAGGAACCTGGCTCTGCACCCCTCCAGCCCCCACCGTGACACAGACACATGGGTTTGTGGCAAAATATTTTTATTGCTGCTGTCCCCAACGTAGCCCCCTGGGGGCCACAGCCAGCTTCACAGCATCTTCTGGAACAGGGTGATGGCCTCGTCCACCTTCCTGAGCTCCGCCTCTGTCTGTCTGAGCTGGGGTGGAACACAGGGGTGGGTATGAGGCTCGGGCTCCAGGACACCAGCACCAGCACGGTAGGACAGCCCCAGGCAGGAAGGCCCAGCGCAGGAGTGTGGGCTCTGTCTGGCTTCCTGACTACACCTGTCCTGCCACGCCTGCCAAAGTGTCTTCCTCTTTGTCAAAGGGAGCCCACACCTTGCCTGGCACCCCCACTGCCATCAGGCACAGCACAGGCTGGTGGGTCAGGAGGGCAGAATGGAAACGAGGTGTGGTCTGTAGGGAGTCAGCCACGGCTCCTTCTGGAACCTCAGAGGGAGGGTGCGAGGGGCTCTGCTCCCGGCGGCCAGGCCAGACCTGGGCTGCTGCCACACTCAGCCAGCTGGGTGGGCCCCAGGGTCAGGCTGGGAGGTGGGACGCCCCCTTCTAGGCCTGCCTGTCTCCAGCTGTGACCCCGCCACACCTGCGTGCAGAAGTAGGCTCGGGCGGCTCATGGCTCCCCCAGGACTGGCAGGGGGCAGCCTCAGGACTGCATCAGCACACAGGGAGCGGCCAGCCTGGCCTCACCACACACCTTGGCTTCGTCCGCTTCCTGCACCTCCAGCGGCACCTTGCCCGAGTAGCCTGTGGCGGAGCGGCGCTCCTGCAGACGCTGGGCCTGGCGCTGCGCCTCTGCCCGCCTGGCCTGCAGCTTGCCCAGCTCCCGCTGGGGGTCCACCAGGCCCTGCAGGTGCAGGTGGATGGAGCAGCGGTCGGACGCTAGGGCCACGGCGCAGCCCTGGGGCGCGGGAGCCCCGAGAGCCAAGACGGCGACCACACCCGCACCAGCCAGGGCCTGCACGTAGACGGACACCGCCGAAGCCAGGGCGCCCGTAGCTTCGTCAGCCACTTCCAGGAAACCTGCAGAGAAGGGTGAAGATGAGGCCTGGCCCCAGGGACAGAGAGGACAGCAGGCAGCCACGGTGACACAGGTTCCAGGGCGGAGGGAGGGACCGAGGCTCACAGTCCGGCCGGGTCCGGGTGAGGTTGTAGTCGGCTCGCAGCGAGCGCACAGCTCGAGTGATGCTCAGCGCCAGCTCGAGGGCGGCTTCGGCCTCAGCGTCCTTCCAGGAGCACTGTGGGGTGGAGGAGGCTGTGAGGGGCCCTGAGGGTGGCCAGAGTCCCTGCACAGTCCGCTCCAGACCGGCCCCTACCTCCGCAGGCTCTGGGTAGGGAGTGACGCAGAGGCTGGCGGGGGCTTGCGGGGTCCGCCGCGGCAGCCTCTGGAACAGCTCCTCCGTCACGAAGGGCATGAAGGGCGACAGCAGCCGCAGGCCGACATCCAGGCAGGTGTAGAGTGTCTGGCGGGCACACTCGGCTGCCGCCTGGTCCACCCCATGCAGCACGGGTTTCAGGCACTCCTGGGGAGGCGGCCGGCTCAGCGTGGGGTCAGGCTCCAGCCCATCGTGAGGACCAGGAGGAAGCCAGGCCCGGCCGCCCACACCGCCCACTCGGCCTCTCCTCACCAGGTAGACGTCGCAGAGGTCGTACAGCCAGAAGCTGTACTGGGCCGTGGTGACGGCCGGGAAATCGTAGGCCTCGAAGCCTGCATTGCTGAGCCGCACGGCCTCCGCCAGCCTGCTGAGGATCCAGCGGTCCACCAGGCTCTCGCGGCCTCCTGGCTGTGGGAGGAGGGCGATCAGCTCGCAGGCCCCGCGTACCCAGGAGAGAGGACCCCGTGGGCAGGGCCAGAAGCCTGACGGGTGAGCAGGTGGGAGAAGGACGGGATGCCCATAACTGGGGAAAGAACCCTGGCGCCTGCTCCTGCCATGAAGGGGCACTCAGGGACAGGAGGAAGCTCCTGACTCCACGACGTGGGCCGTGTGTGACCCACGGAAGGGGTGCAGCCCGTGTGCAACCCACAGGCCTCACCGTGGAGGTCGGTGAGGGTACAAAACCCTGCCCGAGGCCCCGGAGGGCAAACTTGGTAGCGTTCCAGAGCTTGTTGCAGAAGTGCCGGTAACCCAATATGCGGTTCACATCCAGATTGATGTCCCGACCTGGGAGGAGGTGACAGGTGGCTCTTCACCATGCCCTGCCAGGGCCACAAGGAGTCCAGGCTGGGCACAGGGGTGGGCCTCAAGGGAGGAGAAAGAATGCTGACAGGGAGGTTTGGGGCACCTACCCTGCGAAGTGTAGGCACAGAGGCCAAAGCGGAGGGCGTCCGTGCCACACTCAGGAATTCCAGCAGGGAAGTCGGCCTTCTACAGTGGAGGGCAGCAGCCAGGTCAGCCCCGCCGGCTGCACTCGGGCCCCGTCCCTGCGCTCGGGCCCCGTCCCACAAACCTGTCCTTCCTTGGCCTTTTCCACCTCGCTGGGATCCAGGTTGCTGCTCAGTAACTGGTCATGGAGGCCCTGAGGTGGGGTGGGCGGTCAGGTGGCCCTGTTGCCCACACCACACAGCCTTCTCTGCTGGCCCGGCGCCCAGTCCTACCTGTAGGGACACGCCATGAATGACGTCCAGCGGATCGATGACATTTCCCAGAGACTTGCTCATCTTGCGGCCGTGCGCGTCCCTCACGATGGCGTGTAGGTAGACCTGGGGGACAGGGCGCGGGGAGGCCACTGAACCTGCAGCCCTCCTGGGCCCCACGGCCCCCCCCCACAAGCCTGAGGCAGGGGACAGCCCCGGCCACGTGGCGCCTCCCAGGAGCAGCAGCCCTCACAGCCTGCCGGCGCCCTCACCTCTCTGAAGGGAAGCCTCCCGGTGAGTCTCAGGCCAAGCATGACCATCCGGGCCACCCAGAAGAACAGGATGTCGTGGCCCGTCTCCAGCAGGGTCCCCGGGTAGAACACACTCAGGTCTTCCGACTGGGGACAAGCAGGGCATAAGGAGGAGTCCTATACCCCTAAAGCCCCACCGCACCCCAGCCTGGCCCCCAGCAAATACCTGGCTGGGCCAACCAAAGATGGAGAAGGGGAAGAGGCCAGAAGAGAACCAGGTATCCAGCACATCCTCATCTGAGAGAGGCCAACAGACATCAGAGGGGATGGGTGGCAAAAATACATGTCTCACCCAGCTTTGCCCCCCATGCCACAGGCTCTGCCTTGCCTTGCTTGAGGGCGATCTTGTCAGGTGACACCCCAAACTCCTTGGCTGCCTTCTCCCGGGCCTCCGCCTCGCTGCGTCCGCTCACCCAGTAGCGGCCATCCGGGTCCTGCCACAGGTGTGCTTAGCAATCATGGGTGCCCCCCTGCCCCAGGACCCAGTGAGCCCACAGGAATGGGCTCACAGCCTCACCTCCCCAGGGGGCACAGCAGGGTCGCTGACAGTGACAAAGTAAGCTGGGATTCGATGGCCCCACCACAGCTGCCGGGAGATGCACCAGTCCCTGCGGACACGGAGGAGTCAGGAGGCTCCTTGGCCCCCAGCCACCCCCCCACCCCCACCCCCGGAGGACCCACACACCGGATATTGTCCATCCAGGAATGCCACGTCCGCTGATAGGCCTCAGGCAGGATGCGGAGGTCACCCCGGGTCACAGCCGCGCTGGCGGCCTGGGCCATCTCCCCGCAGCGCACGTACCACTGAGGCCGCAGCAGAGGTTCTACCACATCCTTGGAACGGCTGTGGTGCAGATGGCACGAGGCTGTGGTCAGCGCGGCGCCCCGAGGAGCCCTCCCGCTCCCACGGGCCCCGACCTCACTTGCACAGGGGCACCACCATGGGGTTGTCCTGGACTCCCCGGAAGAGTCCCCGCTCCTTCAGAGCCGCCAGCACGGCTTTCCTGGCCTCAAACCTGGGCAGGCCCTGGGTGGGAGAGACGCCTTGTCACGCCGCCGCATGGGTGGCCACCCCTGGGCCCCACAGCCAGGCAGCCTCACCAGGAAAGGGGGGGGCACGTTGACGAGGGCCCCGTGGGCGTCCATGATGCTGACGGCTTCCAGCTGGTGCCGCTGGCCCACCTCGTAGTCATTCTGGTCGTGTGCAGGGGTGATCTTCACCGCGCCTGGGCACATGGAGAATGCCAGGACCCTGGGACTCGGGTGCTCCCTCCTCCCCACGCTTAGCCCTGTGCACACAGGCAGCCTGGCAAGCCCACTCGGCTGCCTGGTGGCTCCAAGGACGGCTCAGGCCTGCCCCTCCAGGCCAAGTCCACTTCCCTTTGCTCGCAGAGATGTGGTGCTTCGAGCTTCGGGCCTCCCTACAATCTGTTCCCCGCTCACCTGTGCCAAACTCCATGTCCACAAAATTATCAAAGACGATGGGCAGGCTCCGAGACAGGAATGGGTGGGTCACTCTCTTTCCCTTCAGGTGCTGGACACAGAGGGGGATGTCAGCAATGCCACCAGCCTGTGCCCTGAGCGCCCCGTTCCCTCACGGCCAGCCAGCTCCATGTTCAGGCTGGGAAACGAGCCGCAGGTGTGTTTCTAACACTTTCCCTGTGAGCTGGGGCCGCCAGGCGTTTCTTATTTTGTCTTTCTGAGACAGGGTCTCACTAGGCAGCTGAGCTCACTGTAGCCCAGGCTGGTCTGGGACGCACAACAATTCTCCTGCCTCAGCCTCCGACTGCTGAGAAGACAAGTGGACACCACCACACCCGGCTCCCGGGCGCCCTTGCAGGCCTGCCCACCTGGTATCTGGGATCTTCGGGGTGCACTGCCACTGCCACATCTCCTAGCATGGTCTCGATCCGAGTTGTGGCCACCACGACCTCCTCGTTGCTATCTGGGAACAGAAGGCCTCATGGGC